TGTAGTAGGAGGGCTAACATAGAGAGTGTATGTTGTAGGAAGGCTGACATATAGAGTTTCTGTTGTAGGAGGGCTAACATAGAGAGGGTCTGTTGTAGGAGGGCTAACATAGAGAGTGTCTGTTGTAGGAGGGCTAACATAGATAGTGTATGTTGTAGGAAGGCTGATATAGAGAGTTTTTGTTGTAGGAAGGCTGACATAGAGAGTTTATGTTGTAGGAAGCCCGACATAGAGAGTGTCTGTTGTAGGAGAGCTAACATAGAGAGTGTCTGTTGTAGGAGGGCTAACATAGAGAGTGTCTGTTGTAGGAAGGCTGTTATAGAGAGTTTCTGTTGTAGGAAGGCTGATATAGAGAGTGTCTGTTGTAGGAAGCCCGACATAGGGAGTTTGTGTTGTAGGAGGGCTAACATAGAGAGTGTATGTTGTAGGGAGGTCGACATAAAGAGTTTTTGTTGTAGGAAGGCTGACATAGAGAGTCTTTGTTGTAGGAAGGCTGACATAGAGAGTTTTTGTTGTAGGAAGGCTGACATAGAGAGATTTTGTTGTAGGAAGGCTAACATAGAGAGTGTCTGTTGTAGAAAAGCTGACATAGAGAGTTTCTGTTGTTGGAGGGCTAACATAGAGAGTGTATGTTGTAGGAAGGCTGACATAGAGAGTTTTTGTTGCAGGGAGGTCGACATAGAGAGTAGCTGTTGAAGGAAGGTCTAAATAGGGATAGGCTATTGTAGGAAGGCTGACATAGAGAGTGTCTGTTGTAGGAAGGCTGACATAAAGAGTGTATGTTGTAGGAAGGCTGACATAGAGAGTATCTGTTGTAGGGAGACTGACATTGAGAGTATCTGTTGTAGGAAGGCTGACATAGAGAGTGTCTGTTGAAGGAAGGTATAAATAGGGATAGGCTATTATAGGAAGGTCGACATAGAGATAATGTGTTGTGGTGAAGCTGAGAGGAAGAATATCTGTTATCGTAGGCCACGCGAGATTAACAAGCGTTACGTGGTTAGGTGTAACCCGCTTTGATAATTCGTTACGCATGCAGCAGAGCAGCACCGAGAAATAGTATTTATATCTATATTTATATCTATATTTCATCACGTGAAAATTAATGATCGTAGAAAACCCAGAAATTAATTAATGGACTTAATATGCGCATTAATTAGTTTTCGAACTCGTTTAATACGTTTTCAAAAATTAAAAGTTGTGTCAAGTCCATTGTGAGTCGTCAGTTGTCTTAACATCTGTAAAACATACAGCTTAATCGTTATATCAATCGTTAAATGTGTGTGTTTTTAGGAATACAAATACATTAGATGCACTGGAGATATACAGAATGTACGTAAGTCGCCCACAAACGAAATTATTTACTATCAACTTAAAACGCCGTACAAGTGTAAAAAATACAACTATTTATTCTTACGAATTAGCACTAAGGCAACTTTTAGGCCATATACATGTATGATACTCCAAACTTTATGTAATAATTATGTACCATAATCCAAACTAGATATCGATCAAATTTTAAAATAAGAACATTTGAGTAAACAATCTAAGGTTTGATAACTTCAAATGACAGGTATCAGCCTTGCGATTGGTTAGTTTTTTACTACCGGAACCAATGAATGAGCTAGCCGTGTACGTTCGATTTTGTCATGATGTATGTATAGGGTATAGATAAAAGGTAAAAGCTGGCTTCATGAAAGCAGCCATTTTCCATCCCGGATAAAAACAAGAGGCCCATACGCCTTAACGGTCACCTGAGTTATGTAAAACCTGATGTTTTCGATGTTGCCAAATGAAATAGAAATCATTTTGTAACAAGGGTAACTTGAACTACATGTAATGCAAAAGCAGTGTGAAAGATCTTGGTAGTATATGTACTATGTACAAATAGTGGTGCTTCCAGTCAGCTGAATTTTGGTAAAGCACCTTAAGACCATTCCATCTATGAAGAATATTTGATTCTACCATATCTAGATCTTGAGAAGAAGTGTTTTGAAATTTTAGTCAATTTGACCCTTTTTGTCCCCGCCCCTCAGGCCCCTGGGGGTCAGTCAGGGCTGATTTGTGCATATCATCAAATTGCTATCCAATACTGATAATTCTTACCAAGTTTGAATTAATTCCAATGGAAAGTAAACAAATGCTGGTCCAAAATGTGATTTCCCTATATAAACTATAGTAAAGTTTACCCCCTCCCAAGGGGGAAACGTGAGACCCCAGGGTCATGAAATTCACTATTTTGGTAAAGCACATTAAGACCCTTCCATCTATGAAGAGTATTCGATTCTACCATATCTGGATCTTGAGAAGAAGATGTTTGAAATTTTAGTCAATTTGACCCTTTTTGGCCCCGCCCCTCAGGCCCCTGGGGGCTGGGGACCATATAGTTCTGTGTGGTTCACCTTTGGCCATGGAAGGTTTCTGCATATTTCTGTATAAAATACAGGAGAACTTTGAATAAATTTTATAAAATTCATCAAGAGAAAATGGAAATGGGACTAAGAAAAGTTTCAAAAATTGAGCCGAAAACATTCTGGCACATTCTTAATGAAATCGACGGCACTTGTAAGGGGCAGAATGTTGATAAAAATATCAATGGATTATACAGCTAATTTAAAGAACAAGGGAAGTAACTCTACTGAAATCTTTCAAAGCAAAATTGTATATGAAGATGGAAGATTTGATGATCTGTTGAATGGAGAAATTACCTAATATTAAATTACTAAATCCATTTCTTGTTTAAGTAACAACAAGGCTTCAGGTTATGATGGAATCTTGAATGAATATTTAAAATCCACTGTTGAATTATTTAAACCATTATATTATAAGTTATTTAATGCTATATTTAATACAGGCTGCATACCTGACTCTTGGAAGACAGGTGTTATAAAACCCATATATAACCGTAAAGGTGATCCGGATAATTTAGATAATTATAGAGCAATAAGTCTCGTCTCATGTCATGGAAAAGTGTTTACATCCATACTTAATATCAGATTAAATAAAATGGCTAATGGCTTGGGCTCAGGCTGGATTCAGGAAAAATTACTCCACCACGGACAATAATTTCATTCTAACCTCAATTTATTTTTCACTCGAAAAAAAAGTTGTTTTGTTTCTTTAAAGATTTCAAAAAATTTAGATAATTATAGAGCAATAAGTCTCGTCTCATGTCATGGAAAAGAAGTAAAATAACTGGAAAAATGTTCAAAGTCATTTTTAATTTATATGCAAATACTAAATCCTGTGTTAAAAATGGAAATGATATATCTGAAATGTTCAACTGTAACGTCGGGGGAAAATAAGGGGAAAATTTATCGCCATTTTTATTTGCCATTTATCTTAATGATCTATAAGATTTTCTTGAAGAAAACAGCGTTAATTGTTTACAAACAATAGAAACTTTAAGTGAAAATATTGGAATATATATATTAAACTGTTTATAATTCTCTCTGCAGATGATACTGTTATCATGTCTGAATCGGCGGAAGGACTCCAATCAGCTCTTAATACTGTACTTTTGAATCATATTGTAACAGCTGGAAGCTTGATGTAAATATCAACAAAACCAAAATTGTTATATTTTCAAAGAGAAAATGTCGATCACAGTGTCATTTTACAATATGTAATGAAGAGATGGAGGTTCTTGAATCAGTCTCCTATTTAGGAGTCTTAATGAGTTACAATGGAAGTTATTTCAAAGCAAAAATGAGTCCAAAAAAGCTATGTTTGCTGTGTACAAGAAAATAAGAAATATTTCATTACCTGTAGACCTTCATTTTTTTTTTGATTCTCTTGTATTACCAATACTTCTCTATTCAGTAGAAGTATGGGGTTTTGAAAATTTAAGTGCTATTGAAAAACTACATTTACAATTCTGCAAGCGTATATTGGGTATTAAAAGAAGCACGCCAAACTACTGTACATGGTTAATGGAGAGATCGGGAGATTCCCTTTATACGTTGAAGCTAAAACCAGAGTAATTGTGTTTTGGTATAAATTGATAACTAGCAATAGTCTGTCAAGCACTATGTATAACTTAATATTTAACTTACAAACAAATGGAATCATGGAGTTCAAATGGTTAAAGAATGTTCAGGATATATGTATAGAAACAGGTTTAAATTTTATTTGGGCATATCAGAAAACATGTACGTTTAATAGAGATTATTTGAAACTTGTTGTGAAACAAAGTTTACAAGATCAGTTTATCCAAAAATGGTTTAACGATATGAGAGCTCTTCAAGAGGATCTACCTATTCCAATTTTAAAACAAATTTTGAACTTGAAAATTACTTTGTGAAACTAAAGCCAAAAGAAAGACAATTTATTGTTAAGTTTAGAACTTCAAATGTGCACTTACATTGTACCTATAGAAACTGGAAGATGGATTGGAATACCCAAAGAAAACAGAACTTGTAATCTTTGTTTTAACGAAATTGGTGATGAATATCATTATCTATTTAAGTGCGAACATGTATCTGTTAAACAAATAAGACAACTATTTATTCCAAATTACTACTATACTTACCCTAGCCTTATTAAAATGCGTGGGCTATTTACTATATGCAATGTAAAAGTTCAAAAAAATGTTAGCAAATTTCTAGAAAAACTTGAAAAGCTATTGAATGTATGTAAATAGTTTGTAGCCTTTATGCCTTTGTTATCCGCCATGTATATATGAATATGATACATATTGACCTCTTGTTACATACTTTGTATGTCTGAGAGAAATAAAAATCTGAAATCTGTTAAATTTCATTGAAATTTGTTCAGGGGTTTTGGAGAAGAGGACGAAAATGTAAATTGTTTACGGACGCACGACGCACGACGGACGACGCCGGACAAAACGCGATCGCAAAAGGTCACTTGAGACTTTGTCTCAGGTGACCTAAAAACAAAGTTCGCATTAAAGAGTTAAACATTGTTCAATCTGTACTATATGAGTCAAGTGATGTGAATGAATTCTAAAACCTTTTACTCAGCGGTCACTAACATACCTGTGATCTCTCTGCGTCCCTGCGAGTAGGTACATGTGGACAGTCCCTGGCTAAACAAGGCCGCGAGAACAAGACAGCTAAGTGCGGTCTTCATGGTCTTGGTGAAAATGTTCGGCGTTTTGATGCTGAACCTCCTTCGAAAGCCGTCTAGGACACCGCTACCTCCGGACACCGTGACGTCCAGGTGTGAAAGCAGACTTGAGCAACTCTGACTTAGGTTGCCGTAACGTCCGAGGATGAAGTTTGCACACGGGCGGATACGCAGATGGTCAGTTTTCACATCATTTAAAGGACTCGGGCCGCTGAATCTGTCAGATGAATTAGTGAGTCTTGTGACCACGTGAATTCTGCCGCTGCACTGTAAGAGATTGATGCTCTGCATCAAAGATGACAAGATTAATGGTCGCTCTAGCTGCATTCCGCCGTGTGGCGACACATTCTCACCTGACGTTAATTTGACCGGTGTACAGTGTACATAACTCATTGGTAGTGTACATATGGTGTCACAGGGTCAACACAAAACGACCCTTGGATAATACTGTAATGCATGTCCAAACTCTCTATGATATTACGGCCAATGAAAAGAATGTTGTCATTAAGGTAAAACAAATTAATATGAGGCTTAGCTTACAGCAGGTGTCCGGACAACCTCTGCCGTAGACATGATATATGTCAATATTAGGGTAACAGGTCTCCTTCTCGGCAGAGAATATCTATGAATTTTCGTTTCGTAAAAAAGCGGAAGTGAGCTGCTATACAATTTGCCGGGTAAAACCTATTGTACTCAAAATGTTCAAACCCACAGTAAGAAACAAGTGTAGACAGAGGAAATGATATGTTATGATTATTACCGTTTTCTTTCCCTGTTGTGTTATGTTCAGCAAGACTTGTTATTATCACTCAATAGATATATTTACTATTATCATATGACCAGTTTGATCTCACACCCCATATATGCCCGAGAGTCCTGATTTGAGGTGTGATATCAAAATGGTCATATCGTAAACTATTTATCATATGTTTTTTCCCTTAAAAATAAACAAAACATACAAAAAAAGCGGCGCCATCCGGAAATTTGGATGGGGCTTTGTAAATCAATCTTTAAATTATTTTCCATGAAACGGCATTTATTCTATGCCAACAACTCGTTTGCTTACATTAATAACAGACAGCAATAAGCGGAAGTGGCAAAATCCGGAAATTTAGGAGGGGGTGTGATATCACTTTCAAGGGGGTGTGATATCACCCGGGCTGATATCAACTTGTGGATATTTTAGACTTATTACACATACAACAAGAGTACCGCGGGGCGGAACAATATACAAATGTACGCCCGTCGAATGTCATATAGTGTTATATACTTAATCTCTAATTATTATATGTTTACTAATAATACATTGTAACATCCTTTTTGTATGTGTTATAAGTCTAAACTTCCACAAGTTGATATCAGCTCGGGTGATATCACACCCCCTTGGAATGATATTACACCCCCAAGAACACTGCGAGAAAAACGCAATCCGACATAAAAATACTAACGGATTATCTAATGATTCAAAATGAGTAGAGATCTCCAGAGTCTATTGACTGTATGTTTTGTTTATTTTAAAGGAAAAAACATGATAAAAAGTTTATGATATGACCATTTTGATATCACACACCCAATCAGCCCTCGGGCCCTAGGCTTTGGGCCTCTGGCTGGTATCGGGACTCTCCGGCTGATATGGTGTGTGATATCATATAACAATCTCTAAACATTTTAATTATTAGGAGTGCATGAAGAACAAGCTTACCATTATAATGGTATAAATAGTGAACATATTTAGTTATGCTAAGTTGCATATAAAGTATTGTTTTGCTTAATTTCAGTCGAGAGCGACAGAAAGAAAAAACTATTGCCTTTATTTTAGTCTAGAACTAATACAAAATGTTTTATTATTATTTCTTTGATACAGTTAAAATATTAAACAACAAATCGTAAGGTATAGCTGTGTTGTCTTCATATCTATATAAAAATTAAACATGCAACAATCTAAAATATAACGGTGATCGTTTTTTGTTATGATAATAAAGTTTTGTTTTATTTCTTCTGCGGTTTAACTGTAGATATTTCAAATGGTCAGAGCACGAGAATTATTATAAAAACTGCTAAACGTCCCGTAACCTGACAGATACACGCGTGCTGAACTTTGACCCCTTTATGAAAAGTGAAATATGATTGAGTGTCGGGCGTCACACCTGTACCACTTACCGGACATAACCTCTTCACCAGCCAAGTAACTCATTTATGTATAAGGTGACGGCACGGGACGAAAATATCTTTGTAATAAATGTGTCAGAAGTGTACCTCAATCATAGCGGTACCCAAACAACACCTATACTCGCACCCCTCCCCCCTCCCCCCGACACACACACTGGTACTCTCCCTCACTTGCGTCCCCTTAAGCCAACTTGAACTCAAACTCTTTCCAATGGATGAACATGTACCACATTATGACGCTACATTTCGAAGTGACCCATAACAAAAAGCAAACACCCACAGCTTCCCTCCTCCAACGCACTCTTCCTTTCCCTCAACCTCCTTACTTACGCGCGCACTCGAACACATCTCCAACTAACCACACACAGTGTACCCTCACACAACCACACACATTGTACCATCACACAACCACACACACTGTGCCCTCACACAACCACACACATGGTACCATCACACAACCACACATATTGTACCCTCACACAACCACACACATTGTACTATCACACAACCACACACATTGTACCTTCACATAACCACACACATTGTACCATCACACAACCACACACATTGTACTATCACACAACCACACACATTGTACTATCACACAACCACACACAGTGTACCTTCACATAACCACACACATTGTACCATCACACAACCACACACATGGTACCATCACACAACCACACACATTGTACCCTCACCCAAACACACACATTGTACCATCACACAACCACACGCATTGTACCATCACACAACCACACACATTGTACCTTCACATACCCACACACATTGTACCATCACACAACCACACACATGGTACCATCACACAACCACACACATTGTACCCTCAAACAAACACACACATTGTACCATCACACAACCACACGCATTGTACCATCACACAACCACACACATTGTACCCTCAAACAAACACACACATTGTACCATCACACAACCACACACATCGTACTATCACACAACCACACACATTGTACTATCACACAACCACACCAATTTTCCAACTGATGAACACTTCCCAACATCATGACGTTACATTTTACAAGTGGCCTCACAAAAAATAATAAACAACAGATTTATATATTAATCTGAAGACTAATCTTCTATGATGGTTCCATATCCTTCATGTCTGCCATTCCTAATTTGCCCATTGCGGTTTCCATATGACTTTTCATGTCCCCTTCTTCTCTATACAATATATCCAGGGAAGTCATTTACTTACAGTTCATACAGGTAGTAATCCTTACTCATTAAGTTGAAACGCAGCATTTGATTGGCCAATTGAAAGATTTTGCGACTTCCTGACCACGATACGCTCTATGATATATTTTTTTTGCACATGAAGTGAGGATAACTATTTTAATGCATTACTTCCTTGATCTTGACTGATTTCTTCACGTCACGATATTAATCATCAATAAAATCAGGAAAATTAACGTGACCCTGGAAGATTAGGGCAATTTCTCTAAACTTTGAATATTACTGACGTCACTAACCTAATGATAGCCTTTAAAAAGTTTCTAAAGATAGCCTAATATTTATTAAATGGAGAGAGCGTAACTGTGTTGCCACTGTTTCTAAATCGATAACTTAAGTGTGAGCAAGTCTGTTTATTTCTCAATAACTTGAGTGTAGAACGTGACCCAGTTCACCGCGTATGAATATGTAAATACGTATGTAAATATTGGCGGACTTCTTTCCGCAAACCTCGTGTCAATGTTTACAAACAAAACGCTAACATTTAGACTACCGTGCGCTCGAGACACCAAATGATGTCGGGTTCGATACAATACATTTCATGTTTATGGCCGGTCATACAAATGTACAGTCGCGATTAATCGTCGGTACAAAAACGCTCCATCAGCTCCACTCTCTCATCTATGAGTGTCGGCCGCCATGACATAGAAACGATGGATATCATTCCTAGAAATGTAGGTCAAATTTCTCGTCTTCCAAATGTTACATCAACAGTCAATCGGAAGACAAACGATTTATCTACATCATACATGTCATCTGTACAAACATTCTGGTTTGCATACATTCAATTTACACCAGGCCTAGGCTAGTCAGTATCGCTCGACGACATGGGAGCACTCTTTATTTCCCGCCTGTGGAAGCATATCACTTTCAAACGATTGACGTCCGCGGTCATTAGTATTTTCTACTAAGTATTTTGCCCCAATACCTCAATATCATATAAATATGAAATTATTTATTCCATTACCTACTAATACAATTATGAAGATATTGTATTGGTAAACTATGGATATTTGTGAATAAAAATATTATAATGGAGGAACGTTTTTCTTTTGTTGTGACGGAGAAAGTGGGCGGGGTTTAGCTGTCTGTCAACGGCTTTTGCGAATGGCTGTTTCGCATTGATTAATATGACGTTAAACTATTTTTGAACGCGGATTACACAAGGTAAATGCTTGTATCCGACTGTTTTAATGGTGTTATTGTTAAAAGAAAATGTTGTAAATATAAGGATTAACCTTATATTTTGTTTAGTTTATGAGATAAATGATATTAATAACACCGGACGCAGACATTTAACACCAATATTGACTCAAGAACAACAAGTCCATCATGAAACTGACATCAATGCCATCAACACAATCGTCACTGTACACAACACAACACACAATCTTTGACCCTCAAATTTGACAATGACATGAAAAGGGTATCAATCAAACATCGAGTGAAACCTGGTCAAAATCGTAAAAAAAAATCACAAAGTATGATTACACAAAGTTATACGATTGTGTCCATCCAGAAACTTCACTTGCAAACAAATGGTTTTAGCTGATATGCCAATCTATCTCTAGGTATCTACAAAAACTTTATGACAACAGCGACGATGACGATGCTGTAGATACCTGGACTTTTTAACGTATATAATCAGTACAAACATTAAATTTCATCATTTCACATGGATTAACTGAATTATTTTTTAGCAAAAATCTAAAATCATCATTTTATACTTATAGTGGCGGGAGACGTGACAGTCTCTAGCCTGCTGTGTCTTAAACATGCTAAATATATGTAAATAAAAAACAGATACATCCTTAATGGATTGGCATATCAGCTCAAACCATTTGTTTAAACATTCTGCCTATTACTCACATTAACATGTT